TTGGATATCGTTTTTTCGTGTGTCACGATTTTCGGATTATCATGCATTTATTGTGATTTTTTTCGGCCTCGTTGAATTCTTTGGAAATGTGAAAATTCAACGCCTTCAATCAAATGCTGCGAATGGATTCGACAAAAAATCGTGTCGCTTTTAGTTAAGATTTTTTATCAAGCTGATGTAATAATCGAGATTCAAAAATAAATCAACACGATGATGTGATGAACATACGACACAAACGGCGAATTGCATTTTATACTTGTACATTGACAAATTTACTTTGGCATGCAATGCAAAACGAAATTGGATCGCTCAAGCAAAGAATTTTTTATGCAGATAAACTAAAATGTATGTGTACCATTGGAATTGACTTCTAACTTTTTGATGTTTGTTGCAGTCAAGATAGAGAGAGACAGAGAGAGAAAGAGAGAGAGAGAGAGAGAGAGAGAGAAAGAATCCACTACTGCCAAAATATAGCATACGTATGTATGTAACGTTTGATTGTCGAACATACAACACATTTCCATTCATGTGAAAGTCTCCTGTGCTTAAGTGTCGCTAGAAATAACACCGTGTACACCAAATTATTTGGCCTTATTCAATTTTCTACTCGGTAAATTTGTCGAGTTACATTGGTTTGCGAGAAATGTTGTCGGTTGCTGTTGAGTTTCATACTCGACATACTCGAAAATTCAACTTAACTCTTACTTTCTCTCTATCTGAGAACATTGAGAGTAGACAAGCGCCGGAAAATTGACGTTATGTAAATAAGTAATCAGCATAAAAAAAAATCTTTTTCTTTTTTTTTTTGTTGGAAAGAGGAACCGACCCCATAGTGTATTACAATATTTGTGTTGTACAAACGAAATGCAAAGAGGAATATGCGGTGCAATTTCGAGTGCATTTAGAAAACGATGGCAACAATGCCAGACAGACCGTTGAATTGAAGTTTGTACATTGAATGGGTTGTTCCGTTGTTAGATACTGTGCCTGGCGAGCAAAAGTTAGATACTGTGCTTGTTGAGGGAGACAAAGTTAGATAGAGATAGAGATAAAGAGAGATGTCGTGTAGAATAGAATGTCATTGCTACTTGTAGCGTAACGAAAGTGCATTAAATTGTTTTATATTTGCAGCTATTGTTGCCAAGAACATTTACGCTACGCTTTGTAAAGCCAACACAAAACCGTATTCTAATGATTTTAGCTGAAAATCAAATAAGTTTCAATTTGATTTTGTCAACGAAATATTTCTATTTGTTGAAAATTTACCAAAAGCTGGTTTTCGTTCATCCATTTCTTGTCGCCTGCAGTAACGTACAGCGTTTCTGCTCGACTTTTCAAAATGGCTATGTCAATTGTATTTAACGGTAAATTATCGAGAAAATAGACAGCTATAAATATTGAACGCCCGAATTTATGCAGAAAATGTCTTAACACTTTGCAATAACACCAACACCGCCACCACCACCCACAGCAATGACACAATCAAAAATGTCGCGTGCAAATTGAAAATTCAATATAATGTCATCTCGATTGAATGAAACACTTTTTAACCGTTGATGTGCCTTTAACTTAATGATAGTTGAATTATGAACTGCATTAAATAGACTAAACGACACTGAAAAGTTCATATTAAGTGCATAATTCATTTAATTTGTATGGCATTTTCTTTGCCAAAACATTTGACGAAGGTTGCAAATTCAAAACCGTCTTCGTCACTCTGATTATTCGTATACCTTCGGCGAAAGCTTCTTCGATAACAATGTGACTGTGAAATGTTCAGAAAATTTTGTCTATAGAACAATTGGGAGAGAGAAGTAGTAATAATAACATTCACCATTGTGAGTTTTGTTTTGTTGACAGTTCAGTTGGGAGTTGAAATTCCATGAATGCTTTTTGTATATTCTAAAGCGCACAGTATGACAGATGAATTTACAGGATAATTGAATGTTGTAGAATAAAATTACACAGTTTTATATCAAAGCTGTTCACGTGGGTACCTAGAGATCACACCCCCTGAAACATGTTTGAGGCCCCTAGATTCTTTCGATTCAGGGATTAGGGATTTTTGCCAAATTATCACCCTTAATCATTTTTTTCCGAGTGGAATCAAAAACTCCTTTTTGCCAGAGGTTTTGCAGAGGGAGCTGCTTTTACACTAGATAAAAGTGACTCTTGTGAGAACCCCCTATAAGTTATGTTGCACTTTGATATGAAAGGGCTGTTTATCTGCTTTAAAAATGCTGCTTTTATTCTAGATCATTCAACTATGAGTTTATTAAATGCTGGTGTCGGTCTTTTTATCGGTGCACCAAGGCTATAACAAAGGCAATTAAATAACACTAGCCAAACAATAGCAAAAAATAGACAAATGAACTCAATTTAGTTCCATATCGCTTGAAAATGCCATAGAAAATGTCTGCCAGTGCACTCGAATGCGTAGGCAAATTGCATTGTTACAGCATCACCAAATTGGACCAATGGACCCGCACAATGCTTAAACACAAATATTTCCTGTATACAGAATACTGTACACAAAACAAATGAAAGCAATGAAATTGTAAAGAACGAAACAATCAATCGCTTTAACAAAACATGACGAAACACATTGAACAAACACACAAACTCATCATTTGAAAGAGAAAAAAACGTTCGATTAAAATATTTCGAGTTATGAATTTATTATTGAATTCGCAAAAATGAAAAAATTTCTAAAAAAAAGACTGACTATAATATTGCAGGAGGAGACTAATAGCAAATCTGAATGGTATTATAGTGAAGTGAGTCTCGTTTTGAATGATGTCAGCTATGGGTTTTGATTTCAAAATTTGTTTTTTTTTCCTTCTGGATTGTGTTTGTTGCTCTGCTGTGGAACGAGTTACATATTATATACAGATGCTTTATCGCATTCGACACAAATTGAATTGCACGTGGGATAAACCATAAAACTGAATACACTGAAAAGTTATGGCACAATGTGGATTGCCATCGGGAACATTGCGCTTCAAACTTTACCGTCAATATGTCAAACAAACGCATGATAACTTATTCATGTTAAAATGCCAATACACGTTGTACATTGGAACTTTTGAATTGAGCACAAAATTGGCCAGCTTCCTCGAAACCTGTTGTATGTACGACCACAAAAAAAATGTTCTTCTGGAAAATGAGATAGCATTGACAGGAGGGCCCATGGCTCGATTCAATTTTTTTTAAATACATTTTTTTCGACATGATACGTCTCCAATGGTATGAAATGCATTTGGATTTGTGTCATGCCATTTCAATTGAATAAATGATATTGTTGTGTTCTTTTTTGCAAATCAAAGGCTGACTGATTGGTCTCATTTGATTTCATTCAACTAATGTAGACTTCTAGATTATGAATGCTTTATATCCACTTCGATATGTTTCGAATAATTTTTGAAATATATGTCAGTCATGTTGATTTGAATTTCATTTCACAGAGCTCACACTTTCCATATCACATACTTCAGATTTTTTTGCTTCTAATAATTAAAGCAGGACATTGTATTGAGATATTTTCAGGCAGATGAATCAGCTCAGGGAGCTAACGTTAGGCACTGAAGTGGAGTGAAAACAATAGATGTGATTGTAGCAATGTAACCGTAACAATCACTTTTATTGTTTTCGCTCCATTTAAGCGCCGGACGTTGGCTTCCTGACCTGAATCAGCTGCCTGAAAATATCTCAATACAATGTCCGAGCAGCATTCATCCTTTTCAATGCCGAACTGTGTGAGAGAAAAAAAAACCGAAAAGCATGAAACTCCTTATCACTCTAACTCGCTGAGAGGTTCTATTCACCGAATTGGCGCATCGTCCAATGCTGGCATATTTAATAATTCATGAGTGAAAATTCTCAATCACATTTGATTGATTTTTGTATCTTCTGTGTGATATGACGTGACATGTGTAAAAATTCAAAAGCTGTATCTGTTCAAATATCCGGATTCATTCGATGTGAATGAAATTAGTTTTTTTTTTCACACTTTTCAATAACAAATTCAAATGAATTTTACGAAATTCAATTTGGCACGGTTCGGCCATTTTTCCGTTTTTTTTCCCTCTCAAAGTCGGAGAAAATTTCAAATCCCCTATAAGCTATGGAAAGATCATCAGGGGTAATATATTGTTTTTATGAATGTGGGGAAATATATCCACCATAAGAATAAGCAGGTAAAATTCACCAAAATGTTTCGTTGGAAAAAATGAATGTGGAGAAATGCCCCTCCCTTCATTTCTATGGTGAATTCAAAATCAACTTTCAGTAATAGTAACAATGTTCTCGATCCACAAACACAAGCGCACGATGACATTTCGGCTGCTGATGTTGGGGTAAATGCCAACCGAAATCACAATCATCATAAGAGAGACACAAAAACAAACGATATATGCGGCACGAGGTTCGAAACCATGCATGCCATATCGTACAGCACAATCGTTCTCTTCCTTACCGTGTGCCACATAACTACTGCTAGTTCTGCTGTTGCTGCTTTCATTCGCTTCGTTTTTCGTTGGCAATTGGTTCACACACAATATAGAGCGATACGGTATGTATCAAAATATTCGGATGAATTTTGTGCCGTGGTTTTTTTTCTGTGTCTCTCGTTTTTCTCTTCGGCGAGTGTTGTGTGTGAACTGTGGCTGCTGGTACTCGTTCGCCACCGATCCAAACATTCGTGTACAGTGAATAAAAGTTTTTTACATCTTGAATTCAGTAGTTGTGTTCAAAGCGTCGCGACGATAACATATTTTCGCATATTATATATACTTTTTTACGTTTTCTCTATATTTTTTATACAAATACACTTTTAATCTTATACATACACAGGCATTTATACATATATGCAAGAACAAATGAAATAAAAAAAAAATCAAATACTAATTCAAACCAAATAATAATTATAATAATAGTAACAATAATAGTAAAATTATTTAAGAAAGAAAAAAAAGACCGCCAACACAAACAACCAAAAAAGAAAATTTAACAAAAATTGAAATTAACGATCGATCTAAAATGAATTTCAAAAAAATTATTGGTCGAACGTGATTTAAAAACCAGAGAAAGTAATTAAAAACGATCGACTTGTAAATAGAAATTAAAACAACAGCAAAGAAATAAGAGTAAACAAAACTATTGAGCGGGTAAAAAAGACATTTTTTTGAACTTTTGGAAGGGATCGAACAAAACAAAACAATAATAACAAAAAATAAAAGCGTGAGCAGAGTTAATAAGCTTCGGTTTCTCATTGGATAATTCTTTCGTTTGTCGCTTCATCACGAGCAACAATTCATTATCTTGTTGGTGCCGGTAATGTTTGATATTTATTTGCCACTCACAAAAAAAAAATACCAAAATTTCACCAAAAACTAATGAACGAATTTTCAATTTCAAATGCACGAAATGAAACATAACATATGAAATGTAACGGTTTTCTCTTTAATCTATGTTTCACAAACGTACAATATATAATTATTGGTTGACGGTGGGAGCTTTGAGTTTTTGTCTGATGGAATTTAAAAATATTTTCGGTTTATTTTGTGTTTTTTTCTATAAATGTTTTTGTGATTTGTTGGATTTTCTTTTATTTTTTTCGGTATATCGGTGAATAAATCCGTGATCTCAAGTATTTAAGAAAGGATGAATAAATAGCGAAAAAGTTTATGTGAACCGATCTTGGTTGGTTAAGTGTTTGAAAATCTTTTAAGCACATATTTGCATCCAGCATTTTGATTTGAAATAAATTGTGTATGTGCGTCGATGAGATTTTCAATGTGTGTGCGCACGATTGTGTGTGTGGGTATGATTAACATTCGATTGATAATTCAAAAATTTGACTGCGATATAAATAATTTGTTTTGATTACGGCTTTACAATTCGTCCTACATTTCGAATCAAAGAGTTCTTTTTTTGTCTCCCACTTCAATGTTATTGTCTATATTTGATCTCTTGTTTCACTAAATTGTTATAGTCGCCGTTCTCGTTGCTTACTGTCTGCGATTAAAAATCGATGGTGTAATATACATGTGTCTCATATTGACGGTCAAACCGTTTTATTCTCATCAAAAAAAAAAAAAATTAAGGTAAAAATAAGTTATCTCACGAAAGTGTACAATATGTATGCGTGTATGTGTTAACCAATACAAATATTTTTTTTGAATGATGAGATCATTTCTAAAAATCAAATGTGATAAAAAAATGGGAGAGTCGAAGAAAATTATTTATTATTATTACTTCATTACACTTTGAATGTGGGCTGGGAAATCGACAGGCAATCCACAAATCGAAAAGCACATAGATACTTTGTGTTTCCCAACTCAAGAAGCAAGAATACGCAAAAGCTTTAAGCTATAAATAAAGCGAACCGTGTTCAATGTGTTTTTCTTTGAATATTAACTCCTCATAATTTGGTTGTTTATTTGATTGATGTGAAAATAAATACGCTCTTATTTTCAAGTTTTTAAATGAGTCTCATTAAAAATGATACAGCCATTGAATTTCTCTTATAACTTCAAGTTGAACAACAATGAAAATGAAGCGAAAAATAAAACGCATACAAAACGACGATGGTATTTGATATAATAGAGTCGTATCGATAGATTGATTGTTATATAGAACCGATTCGGTTGCAGAAAGTCGCTTATAATCGGTAAAATCTTGTTTCTACATGAGATGGTTCATTCATTTCCATTCGATGGCCTATTAATTACATTAGGCATTTTCCACAATACACAAAACACCGAGCTAATCGTGTTCGGAATTGCATTGGAAATTCGATTAAATTATAGTAGATCAATTATTAGCCTATGGGGCGATGTGGATTATAGACACCGCTTTGATCCAAATATTGTATTTTATCGAATAGTAAGATGAACTATATTGAAATGTTGGTAGCCACAATTGATCGATAAATTTCAATATTTTGACATGAAACCGGAGAATAGGAGACAAAGTGAATGTCAAAACGAATGGGCAGACCAATATAGAATGAAATTTGTACATACAACGATATATACACATGATTCCATTCATGTGATGATAATTTGTCGATATTTGGTAGGCAATAACAAACGAAAATTAAGTTACACACACAGAGAGAGAGACTTACAAACACACGCACTCAAGTTCAATTGACAATATGCTTAGAAAGAAAACATGTCTGCTTGTCATGAGGTCTGACGGGGAGAAAAAGTCCATAAAAACTATATGAATTGTGTTTTTCTGTCTGTTTGTGTGTGTGTGTGTGTGTGTGTGTGTGTGTGTGTGTGTGTGTGTGTGTGTGTGTGAGAGAGAGAGAGAGCGAGAGCTGTATTGGAATATACGCATCGACTGATATTATTTCAAAGCAATCATTATTTGAAAGTTTTGTTTTAAAGGTGACATTTTTATCGATAGCCTTTGACAGCATTTTAATCCAATACTCCTCGCCTTTCTTATTCAAATATTGGATTTGGTGCGTGTGTAAACAACAACAACAAAAACGATAGAAAAGAATCCATTATTTATTTGCTATAGTTAATTTCATTATACGCAAATGTTGGCATTGTGCTTGACATTATTATTTCATATCATACTGCATTGTAATTTTCTGAGTTTTTTCTTTGTTTGACGATGGATTTAGTTGGTTTTGTTGTTATCGTTCATTTCTCCTTTATTAATCTCGCACAAATTTTCGCTTAATACTGTTAACAGTGGAAATTGATTGTTAAGTGATGAAAGCGCGCGCGGAATGAAAGGCTCGGTCGCGCCGGTTCGCTTCGTTTCTTTCGTTATCCGATTGTAACTATTATTAGGAAGAATTTTTTTTCTATGTCATCTCATAGTCATACACCTTGATCAATTATTTATTCTTCTAAAAATGCGTGTCTAGTCACTGGCTGAAGATTTATAACATTCTCGTCGTGATATTTTACAATTGAGGATGAAACTAACAATGGTCAATTTAAAGGTAAAAAAAGTAACTTTTTACATTGTGATAACACAATAGCGCATGCCTATAGAATTTATCCGTCTTTTTGTTCGTTTTTTTTGTCGTGGTCGGCCTTGCTAATGGAGACAATGATTTGAAATTTTTGTTGTTTGTTCTACAATAATTTTTATCAATTGACAATATAATGTGACGGACACGAAATATGCTTAATACCAACAAAAGAAACGTGTGACCTTGCCATTGATGGCACGTTTGTAATACAATACAATATTTTGTTTGGTGTAATTATTCGCAATTTGTTCCATTGAGATAAAATATTCAGTGTGGACCAAGGTAATTGCGGATCAAAAAATCGCAAGTAATTGCTTTGCACACGCAAAAAAATTGACAGCAACGGTAATGGTAAGGACGACCGCAACCTTAACCAAAGATGTGCAACACATCAATTGCTCATACGCACACAACAAAAAAACAACGACGAAAAATTGGTCATCGATTTTTGGTTTGAGAAGAGAACAAAAAAAAAATCGAGCCTTTGGTAGCCTGCAACATTCCAGCGAATTCAATTTCGGTTTTTCACCACATTTGCAAAACAATCAGTTTTTGGTTGGAGCCAATTTTATCGTATTAATAATGCAACGAAGCAAAAGAACACGTGTAAAATACCCAATACCGAAATATACATATAGTTACTTGAAACCACATTGATCGCGTCTGTGTGTATACACCCACAGCAAACAAATAAATGCTCGTTCTCTTTTACACGCTCTCTCTCTCGTTGCCGAATAATAATGGAATATACGATTTGAGTTTTTTTATCATTGTGCGATTGAACCAGTACAATTTTAATCAAAAATCTACAATAATACGCGCAATGCAATTCACAACCGAACAATGGACGGAACAACAATGGTTTTAGGTGGGCAATAAGCGGAGGTGAATTCTGATGGCGGCAAAAAAAGGAAACGAGAAATATAACAAATATTGATCAGATTTTGAGTGGCTCGCTCGCTCTCTCTTTCATGGAAATGAAAACTGGAAAAATTTGCATAATTCTAATAATTTGACTAGAATGTCTATTTTAGTCGGAAAACTGACCATTTTGGTCGAAACACAATTTTTTGTTTTGGGATAGAGAAAAATATAACAAACAAATAAAATGGAAAGCACACACACCGCAAATAACATAAAAAAACCATAGGCAATCTGAACATTCCAATCGTATGGCCAGCACTTTTTTTCCCATCCGAAGTCCATTGATAATGCAAATTTGATACATTTTATACAATTTTTTACCTTTGTGTTTTGTATTGAGGGAAATTTTACTATTTGCGAATGCCACTTTTATTTGTGAGGAGTGTGGCGAATTTGAAAATAATTTTTTACATGCATTGGCAAATATTCGCTGGACCATTTATAGGCCAGCCGTTCAGGAAACATCAAATTGATATAGTAAAAAAAGAACATTGATATTCAATCGCCTTGAAGCAATTCACACTTGAACACATTTAGAAGTATTCTTGACATATGTTTACTTAACTTCGACACATTGCTACTTTGTCAAGCTAAAAGTTACACAAATCAAATATGAAGTAAGTTGTTTCAGAGACAGTTTCTCAGAGCAATAAATATGAGCAGGAGAGCTTTGCGGAGCTGGAGAAGCACTGGATCATTTTTATTTAAATTTAACATTTTACATCTCCTTGAGAAGGAACTTTGCTTATCAGTGCTTCTCCGGCTCCTCTGCGAAACAGTCTCTTTTCAATAACAACCACAAAAAATGTAAAGAGAAAATAAAGCATCTGTTTTTGGCAAATAAAAAATTAATTCTAATCAATTCTCTTTAAAAACAATAAACTTCACAATTTTACTGCGATGATAAGACGGTGTTAACATACCAAAAGTCCAGAAAAATCTCATTCATATAAAGCGTCTTAAGTACCTGAAAAAAGGTTCGGCATGGCATTCATTACGATTTGGACGGATTTAGCGATGCAAACCCTAAAAATATATACTTTTTTTTAATAAATTGATTGGAATCATTTCGGAAGGACCCAATATTTGAATAAAAAAAAGAGAGAAAAGATGAAAATAGTACGAAATCGTTGTCTCTCTCAGCCATTTGCATTATTTGTGAGTCTATTTTGGGCATTTGTCCAAATAAATTCCACAAAAACCCCGTTGAATAATTTGGTATGTCATTTAAACCGCTGAAAGCCAACAAAAATGTCTAGCAGCCAATCATTTATTCAATTAAGTTTTGCGATTTTAAATTCGTTCGTTCAATGCGTTTAAATTGAAATCAAGTCTCACTTCGTTTTCTTCGTCTTTGGCTTATACCAAACATTTTAAAACTTGCTTGAAATTGCAAAGTATTTGA